ACCGTCGACCGACGGCGGGAAATCGCTGCCTTTGCGCTGCGAGTCTGGCGCGCTGCGAGTCTCGCGCTCGACTGTTCACTGGGGGTGCGAAAGAAACGTTTGCAGCGATTGGCCAATATGGGCCTCCAAGCGAGACGCGCGGGTCTGCTGGCAGTCAGGCAAGCCGCAACGGCCGCCCTATCGAAGATTGGCCGCTCTAGGGCCGCCAGGCATGCGGGCTGGCATCGGCTGCCCTGCTACTGAATGGCCACTCTGGGCCGCCAGACGAGGGTCGCTCTGGACCCGCGAGGGGGAACCCTATGGGTACGCTGGTCACACTGGGCCGACGTAAGAGGCCACTCTGGGCTTGATAGCAATGCCGTGACCCCTCAGGGCCGTGAAACAGACTCCGCCAGGGTGGAGAAACAACGCGTAGGTCACCAAGGACCAGCGGCGTTGGCCCGAGGTGAACCAAGGGACACAGGACCCGCAGGGAAAAGCCCTAGACAACGACACCCACGAGGGGCCACACTGGGCCAGAAAAGAAGCGCGACCGCGGTCGCGTCCGACGCACTCTGGCGAACGGACGCCCCGCGCGTCGCCCCCGGGGTTGGTCCAGAGCCGCACGCTGGCAGACAGAGGACCACACCCCGGCCAGCCGCCCCACCTGAAGAGTGCACACTAGGCAGGTGGGGCGCTGCAGACATGACCGGGCACTTGATATCCCGCCCCGCGGCCAGGCGGCAAAGAGGAGACATCGCGACCGTGCACGGAGGAGCAGAGGGAGGAAGGGCCCCGACGCGCGGCCGCGCGGCACGCCAGCATGCCCGCGCGGGGCCTGGCCCGCCCGACGTAGCGGCGGCGCGTGGCGGGTGGACATGCGGGCGCCCGCCATCGCGCGGTGCGCCGACGGCGGGACACTCCCGCCTGGGGGCGTCGACTAATGACTTGCATTAACAAGTTATTACTGCCCTCTAACGATGGTTTCGTAGAGGCCCCACACGGCCAAAAACGTTCCAAGGGGGTCTCCAGATGGATTCAAGAGGCCCCGAAGACGCCCCGAGAGGCCCCCAAGACGACCCCCACGAAGCAAAGAAGCCCCCCAAATCGCCCCAAGACCGCCCAGGCAGTCCCCAAGAGAGCCCCAAACCAGCCCAAGAGAGCCGCAAGACGGCCACAGAGAGCCCCATGACAGCCGAAGAACGGCCACAGAGGGGCCCACAAGGCTCCCAATATTGCCCCGATAGAGCCACAGGACAGCCCCAAGAGGGCCCAAGAGGACCCCAAGAGAGATCCCCAAAATGGCCCTTGCCACCCGAGGCTGCCCAAGAGCGCTCCAGGACGGCCTGCGAGTACCCCAGACGAGCCCGAAATGGCCCCAAGAGGGCCGCCAAAAAGGCCACAAAAGAGCCGCCAGAGGCCCCAAGATCGTCCGAAGACGGCCCGCGACGCCCCAACTAGGCGTGTCCTCAGGTCCTCAGGCCACCCCTCTAAGCCTCGGTCCTCGCTCTTGCGGAGTTTTTGAAGGGTTCGCAGCTCCTCGGCCCAAATCTCTGGGAGTTCCCCGCGTCTTGTCGCGTGACCGCATCGGGCCCATAAGACCCCAAGACGGGCCATGAGAGGGCGCCAAGAAGCCCCCGAGACGGACCAAAAAGGCCGCGAGTCCCCGAAAGAGCGCGCCAAGAACGCCCAAGATGACTCCCGGCCCAGGAGGCCGAGGTGTCCCAGAGAGCCTCAACGCGCCCACATCATTGATGTTCCTCAGGGTGTTCAGGGATGTGGGCGTTCTCATCGCCTCGGTTTCCCAACACTCCCGACTACCCCAAGACGGCCCGAAAGGCCTCCAGGAGAAACCCAAACGGCCCAAGAGAGCACCACAACGGCCCAAGAAGCGCCGAAGGAACCCAAGAGAGCCCCAAGACGGCCCCCAAATGAGTCCCACTGAGGGAACACAAACCGAAAATCCGAGCCTTCCGCCCCAAAGAGGCCCGCAGCAGGCCCCAGAGGCGCCGAGGAAGCCCCAATGCCGATTCAACATTGCCTCCGCACGCGGCTGCCTGCGCCAGCCCTCGGCACCGTATCTTCCGATAACACATGGCTCCTAAGGCTCTTACTAGAATAACTGCTAGAATTTGCAAGTTGGGGATGTTCAAGCCTGCCGCTTCAGCTTCATAGCGGTCCATCTCGAAGCGTTCCAAAATCTGGTCGATCCGTTCCCCCGCATGGACTCGGAAGTCGATGAAACCTTTACCACAGATTTTGGCGTTCCTCGTCTAGGTTCTCGAACTTCGTGCTTAAGAGGAACATGATGTAGGTGACGCCATCGGTATATGGCGGCCACCTATGTTGACGCCAAAAATGAGAACTGCTGAGGGAACTCTCATGGCTATGGTCCGCGCGAGGCCTCCCAAGCCTCGCTGCAGTGCCGCAGCTTGTTGGGAGGGCATCATGGTGCCTGTGGCCACGTTGATCCAGGCATGCACCTCGCGAGCAAATTCGCGGAAGGGTACTTGACCGGCCGGGTCCCAGTGGGGGCTGGCTGTTCTTGTGTCGTCTCCGCCACGCATGTGTCCCACTGCACACCCGATAGCTACCCATATGAGCCAAATATAGCTATACCAATCCAGCGGCCTCGTAGGTCGTAGTCGGATGTGGTTGGTTGGGGGTTGTGGTGTGTTGTCGTAAGCCTGCGTGGGGGTGGAGGCGGCACAATGTCGTATCGCATGTTTCCACGCATTGTATATTCGAATAAATTTCCAAGTGGAGTAGGTGGGTGGACGTCAGGAGTGTAGTAGCCCAGGGATGTATAACTCGAGTAAGAGGCCTCTGCGTGAGCAGAGGTATCACTGCACGTGTCCTTGCGGCTGTGCGTAGTTATGTACATTCCTCCGCGCAGACCCACTGCACCCTGATGTTCCACCATGTCAGTAGTCCAGTAATCCACCAGATAGTGCCGTGGATGGTGAGAAGTAGAGCAAGAGCTGACCACCATAGGCCAGCTCCACTACCAAGTTTGAAAAGGGTTGGGAGGCCCAACCAGCAGCTTCGCCTTAGGCGAAGCCCAGCTCCAGCTCTGCTATACCGTAGTAGCGATAGTCCCAGTAGTAGGAGATCGTCGCGGGAGTGACGAACCATCTCAAGCAAAGGATGTTTTGGTCTCGATGGCAAATGGTACACCTCGCGCTGAAGCGTAGTCAGATCTGGGCGGCCAGCCGCTTGAGCCCAAACGGCCGCGGACACACGCTCGTTACCTCTCGCCTGTATCCCAGCTCACTTTAGAGTGGGTCCGGGACCCCCCGTTCCGGGACCCCCCGGTCCGGCCCCCCTGGTCCAGGACGTAGGGGCGCCGCCATCGTCGTCGCCGCCGCCTTCGCTCCTCTCCCTCCCCCTCTCTCTCCCCCGCCTTCCTCCTCCTCCTCCTCCTTTTCCTCCTTTTCCTCCTCCTCCTCCTCCTCATCTTCCTGGCTCCTCCTCCTCCTCCTCCTCCTCCTCCCACTCCTGCTCATGCTTTTTTCGCGGTTCGATCCGCGGCCACAACATGCAACAGTACTCGTTGGCGCGCCAACCTTTCGATCACCCGAACTGGACCGCCCGAAACCGAACCGTCCCGAGGCAAAACCGAATTGTCACAAACCGGACCCGTGCCGAAACCGAACCGCTGCAACCGAACCGGCCGCCGCCGAACCGGCCCGAACCGGCCCCAACCGGACTCGATGCATCGGCGACGTCGACGTGAAGCAAATCGAGCCCCACATAGAGCCGCATCGCCGATGCATCGGCGATGCGGCGCGGTCCTCCGACCCCATCTTGTACTCCCACCCCATCTGCGAGGCCTAGACTCCTGCCCCCTCCCTTGGGAAACCGAAGGGTAACTATCGACACCGCCACTCCCTGGACCTCTCCCGGGGTGCTTTAGGGCCGAAATCGCGAGGCGAATCCAGCTGTGGCCACGAGGGCCTCCCAGGAGGGACAAAAAGGCGAACACGAGGGAGGGGTAGCGGCATGGGTACCTTTCCCTCCTCGGATCCCTCCTCCCTCGAGGGAGGAGGGAGGATCCTCCCTCCTCCCTCCTCTCCCTCGTCGTCCTCCTCCCTCCCTCCACCCTTCCGCTCCGCAAAGCGTGCCCCGTGGGGTAAGTCCAGCTGCCCTCCGCCAGCCAAGCCCGCCCTGCAGGGTATTTTCGGCTGCAACGCCGCCCCCCCCCCATCCCCCCCACCACACACACACACACACATTCACACATTCACACATTCACACATTCACACATTCACACATTCACACATTCACACATTCACACATTCACACATTCACACATTCACATTCACACACACGCACACACACATTCACACACATATGCACACACATATTCACACACACACACATTCACACACACACACACATTCACACACACACACACACACACACCGCTGCTCCGCCAGCCGCGCCGCACTGCCCAGCCTGCGTACCCAGACCCCCGACGTCGTGATGTTGTTCGCAACGTCGACCCCCAGAGGTCTGAGATGGACTGCGTGCATTGGGAAGTCGAACCTGCTTCCAAAAAAAAGTTGCTTCCAGTGATGAACTGCGTGCGTTGGGAAGTCGAACCTGATTTTTGGGGAATTCGTTGTTGTTTTGGAAGCAGGTTCGAGTTCCCAATTCACGCAGTTTTTTGGGAAGCAGGTTCGACTTCCCAATGCACGTAGCGTTAGTTGGAAGCAGGTTTCCCAATACACTTCAACGGGGCCCGTTTTGCAGCCTGAGTCGTCGCTTGCCGTTCCCGGGGCCCGGTAGGGGCCCCTGGATGCCGAAACAAAAAAAAAAACATCTCGCGTCGCGCTTTGCTCACGACCCGAGGATGTGGAGGAGGAGGATGTGGAGGAGGAGGACGCGGAGGAGGAGGAGGAGGAGGAGGAGGAGGAGAAAGAGAAGGAGGAGGAGGAGGAGGAGGAGGAGGAGGAGGTCTGTGTACGCCCTGCGGGGTGCAGCTGCCCTCACGCCCTCAGGTGGCCTCCGCGGGCGGTCGCCGCGCGGCCCGCGGGCAGCGCGGCTCGGCCGCGGCCCTCCCTCTCTGCGGCGGCCTCCCGCCCGGGGCGGGGCGCGGCCTCCCGCCTGCAGACAGGATCGCGTCGCTCAGAAATCAGGACGGCAAGTCTTTCAGTATTTTTGGCCCCTCGCGGGGCCCTCGCTGGGCCCCTGGGGCCGTCACGAAACAGCTCGGGGCGAAGAGCCGGTCCTGGGGCAGGGTCGCCCCTGACTCCGGAGGGGGAGATTCGTAAGTAGGGCTTGGCAGTTCCGCCTTACTTTTCAAGCCCCGCTGACGCCAAATTCCGCCCTACTTTTCTGTTGCTATTTCCGCCCTACTTCTGTGGATGTCCGCCCTACCTTCTGTTGGGTGCAGAAATTTCCGCCCTACAGCTTCGGCTTTTTACAAGTGGATTTCCGACGCAATCCTAAGTTGGAAAAAAAATGAAGTAGGGCGGATCTGGAGTCAGGGCGGGAGTTTCTGGGGACGCCGTCCTGAGAAATCAAGACGCTGCCGCCGCCCGGCGGCGCGGCCACACGCGGATGCTCTGCGCCGACGGCCGGCGCGGCGGCGCCTACTGCAGCGGGCACCTCCCGCTGCCCAGGTTGTCCAGCGCGCGCGCCGCCTGCTTCTGCGCGCCAGGGGCGCCGCCGGCCACCAGGCCCTGCAGGCCCTCCACGGCGCCCGGGGCCCGGCCGATGGCGCGCCGGTTCTCGACGTCGCAGGCCAGGCTGGCCAGCGCGCGCGCCGCCGGCTCCTGCGCGCTGGGGGCACCGCCGGCCAGCAGAGCCACCAGGCCCTCCACGGCGCCCGGGGCCCGGCCGATGGCGCGCTTGTTCTCGTCGTCGTAGGCCAGGTAGGCCAGCGCGCGCGCCGCCTGCTCCTGCGCGCCGGGGACGCCGCCGGCCAGCAGGCCCACCAGGCCCTCCACGGCGCCCGGGGCCCGGCCGATGGCGCGCCGGTTCTCGGCGTCGACGGCCAGGTTCTGCAGCGCGAGCGCCGCCCGCTCCTGCGCGCTGGGGGCGCCGCCGGCCAGCAGAGCCACCAGGCCCTCCACGGCGCCCGGGGCCCGGCCGATGGCGCGCTGGTTCTCGGCGTCGTCGTGGGCCAGGTTGACCAGCGCGCGCGCCGCCCCCTCCTGCGCGCCGGGGGCGCCGCCGGCCAGCAGAGCCACCAGGCCCTCCACGGCGCCCGGGGCCCGGCCGATGGCGCGCTGGTTCTCGGCGTCGACGGCCAGGTTTCTTAGCGCGAGCGCCGTGCTCCTCTTCCACGGCGCCCGGGGCCCGGCCGATGGCGCGCCGGTTCTCGGCGTGCCAGGTTGGCCAGCGCGCGCGCCGCCTGCTCCTGCGCGCCGGGGGCGCCGCCGGCCAGCAGAGCCACCAGGCCCTCCACGGCGCCCGGGGCCCGGCCGATGGCGCGCTGGTTCTCGGCGTCTTCCCAGGCCAGGTTGGCCAGCGCGCCGCCGCCTGCTCCTGCGCGCCGGGGGCGCCGCCGGCCAGCAGAGCCACCAGGCCCTCCACGGCGCCCGGGGCCCGGCCGATGGCGCGCTGGTTCTCGGCGTCGTCGGCCAGGTTGCCAGCGCGCGCGCCGCCCGCTCCTGCGCGCCGGGGGCGCCGCCGGCCAGCAGAGCCACCAGGCCCTCCACGGCGCCCGGGGCCCGGCCGATGGCGCGCCGGTTCTCGGCGTCGTCGTGGGCCAGGTTTCTTAGCGCGAGCGCCGCCTGCTCCTGCGCGCCGGGGGCGCCGCCGGCCCGCCAGGCCAGCAGGCCCACCAGGCCCTCCACGGCGCCCGGGGCCCGGCCGATGGCGCGCCGGTTCTCGGCGTCTTCCCAGGCCAGGTTGACAGCGCGCGCGCCGCCTGCTCCTGCGCGCCGGGGGCGCCGCCGGCCAGCAGAGCCACCAGGCCCTCCACGGCGCCCGGGGCCCGGCCGATGGCGCGCGGGTGTCGGCGTCGTCGACGGCCAGGTTCTGCCAGCGCGCGCGCCGCCCCCTCCTGCGCGCCGGGGGCGCCGCCGGCCAGCAGAGCCACCAGGCCCTCCACGGCGCCCGGGGCCCGGCCGATGGCGCGCCGGGTGTCGGCGTCGTCGACGGCCAGGTTCTGCAGCGCGCGCGCCGCCTGCCTCCTGCGCGCCGGGGGCGCCGCCGGCCAGCAGAGCCACCAGGCCCTCCACGGCGCCCGGGGCCCGGCCGATGGCGCGCCGGGTTCGGCGTCGTTCGCGGCCAGGTTGGCCAGCGCGCGCGCCGCCTGCTCCTGCGCGCCGGGGGCGCCGCCACAGAGCCACCGAGGCCCCCCACGGCCCGGGGGCCCGGATGGCGGCGACTTGTTCTCGGCGGTCTTTGCGGCCAGGTTGCCCAGCGCGCGCGCCGCCTGCTCCCCAGACCCCCGACGCAATGATTTTTTCATTACGTCGACCCCCAGAGGTCCCGACCCTTTCCCCATGACCGGCTTTGCATCCTGAGACGTTTTTTGACGCTCCCGAGGCCCGGTGAGGGCCCCCGGAGGCCGAAAATTAGGAAAAACCTCCCGTCGTGATTTTTTCATTGCTCGAGGGGGTCTGGGTCCTGCGCGCCGGGGGCGCCGCCGGCCAGCAGGCCCACCAGGCCCTCCACGGCGCCCGGGGCCCGGCCGATGGCGCGCCGGTTCTCGGCGTCGTCGGCCAGTTTGCCCAGCGCGAGCGCCGCCCGCACCTGCGCGCCGGGGGCGCCGCCGGCCAGCAGGCCCACCAGGCGGCCCACGGCCGCCGACATGAACGATGCTGAAACACTCTCATTGAATGTTCTGTAAGACCCCCACTGCCCAATAATGTAACCATCCACCAAGTACTTGTGCTCCTTTTTTGTCGATGTGGCTGTTTTCGCGTCAACGGGGAAGGCGCCCTCTACGAACTTGAACGAGGTATCGTCGCTCATATCGACGTGAAGTTTACTGCTCACGGTGCAAGCAACCTCAAATATGCAAAAAGACCTGTTCAAGTAGGTCGGCGACGGCTCATCCAGTACTGCGCGCGTGCCATCGTGGGCATTTGATAAATACTTGATTACGCCAGCCACTCTCTCAGGATCAAAGTCGTCTTGGCATTGGCGAAGTGTGGTATCCGCCACCGTGCCTGCACGGTAGCGGAGTGGAGTGTTAGAATGGTTGTCAGCTGTCTCCTAGGGTTTCTTCTGCAATTTTCGAAGGGCGACCCCCTCGTAGGAAGCAGCCTTCGGAAACTGCCCCTTCTAGGATGGCGTACTGCTCACTGGCAACCTTCTCGGCTTCTAGAAGGCTCCCGCATGGCCAAGTATTGCTCCGAGACAGCCGCAAGCTGTGAGGACCAATCCAAGACGGCCTAACAACCCACGACCGAAGAGGCAGTTAGCGGCGAGACCGTTGAAGGCCCGACGCAACGAACAGTGAGCCGAATGTCAAGGCTGTGTGACTCCCAAGCTCTTCGATTGAAGATCGGCATCGGGAAAGCGTCAGAGAGCCCCCTTCGGCCCGCCAAGGCGCACCAAAGACGATGTTTAGCGGTCGCGCTCGAGAGGGCCCCGAGGCCCTCGGCGGCCCCCGTGCCAAAACACCCAGGAGGCCCCCGAGAAGGCCCCCCAGGACGGCCCCCCGAGACGGCCCCCCACGACAAGGCTTGGGACAACAACAGAAGAAAGCACGCCATAAACGGAAACGCTTGGCGCTGCGCGCGGATGTTTTTGGGGATCCGCGCTGGACCCCCCCCCCCCCTGGCGCGAGTCCAGGAAGGGTGCGCGGAGCGCCGAGAGTTTCTATTCATGGCGATTTTTCGTTTTCGAGACTAGGGGTGTTCGAGACCCCGCAGAGTGAGAAGAAAGCGCACCGAGCTGGAACGGCTCTTGAACTGGGCCTTCCCTTCTCTGTGCTGCTGCGCTGCTAGACAGGCGCGTTCCACCACTCGCAGAACAGACATGGCCTGGATCCGCCGCGGGGGATTCGTGATCCATTGCGTCTCTCTCTCTCTCTCTCTCTCTCTCTCTCTCTATATATATATATATATATATATATATATATCGCGCGAAAGAGAGAGAGAGAGAGAGAGAAAAACAAAAAGAAAGAAATATTAATAAACAAAAAGGGGAAGAGAAAGAAAGAACGCCGAGTGCCGAATACGCAGGCACACAAGTGCCGTGGCCCCACGGGGCGTCGCAGGACACCGCCTCGCGGCCCTCTTCCGCGCCCGGCCGCGGCAGAGCAGTAGGCTGTCCTGCCAGAGCGGCGGCCAGGGCCCCCTCGCCCCCCCCCCTCGCCGCCTCGGCCCCCCACGCGGCCTCGGCCCCCCCGGCGCCACGAGGCGGCGCTCTTCGGACGCGCGCGAGTGGGCTCACGTCGAGCCTGTCCCCCGACCGGGGAGATGTTCGACGAAGAACCCAAAAAATACCCCCAAAATAGGCAAGGAATGCTCCCCAAATAGTCAGGGGACTATCTTTTGGGGACTTGTTTTACCTTTGGGGGGCATCTTGGGGGTATGTTTTCATTTTTCGTCGGAGATCCCCCTGTAGGCGGACACGCCCGACATAAGAGTAGGCGCTATGCGAGCAGTGTGAGCATCGCTTTTATCCGATCCCCATTCCCACCAGCGAGGGCTGGGCCCCACTGGCCGATTCTACCCCCCTGGAGGGGTGTATATAGGCTGCTCTCCTCGGGCCTCGAGGGGCCTATCCCCGACTGAGGCGACGAGACGGCGGGGCTCGAGGTGTGCACGGGGGCGGGCCGGGGACAGGGATCGATCGAACGATGCTGACAGTGGAACGCGCTCGGTGAGCTGACACGTTCTCGGGGCTGGCCGAAGGGAGGAGCCGCCGCCCCCTGCCGGCGCCGACCGTTCCAGTACCTTGTCCTCTTGCGGCAGGAGCCAGGCGCCTCGACGGCGCATCGGCAGAGAGAATGCCGTGCAGATGTGCACTGGCAAAGCGGTGAAGGATCCCGGCGCCCGCATCCAGGAGCAGCTGCCGTGCAGACGTGCGCTGGCAAGGCTTTGGCCGCTGAGTTGTCCCATGCGGCGTGGCCGTGTACGACGGCGACAACGACAACGACGACGACAAGGAGGGGGGGGAGGACGGAGCGAGGGAAGCTTGTTCTCTTGCTAAGACCAGAGTCCCAACTGGAGCCTCGGCCGATCCCGCGCGGCCTCCGTCGGCCTCCTTTCCCCCCAGGGCGGCACGGATGTGGCCCCCAGGCCGGCCAGGATATGGCCTCCGAGACGGCCAAGATATGGCCTCCGAGACGGCCAAGAGATGGCCTCCAGGACGGCCAAGATCCAAGATAGTTCCTAGGGAGCTCAAGACGATCCCGGGACGGCCAGGCACTGCCCCGAGGCGGCCCAGGACGCCCTCCTCTGGACGGCCGGCCCAGGAGGGCCAGGCAAGACGCCCCCAGAGGGCCCGAAGAGGACCTCCAGGAGGCCCAGATCAGTGATTGCCCGTGGGTTTGTCAAAGGCTTTAGCGTTCTCGCCATTTCGGGCACTCGATGCTCCAGGACGGCCCGCAGGCCCCCAAGAAGGCCCCGAGGCGGCCCACGAGGCCCCGAAGAGGCCCCCAAGACGGCTCAGGAGGGACCACCCAGGACGGCCCCATGGATCTCCAGAACAGCCCGAAGAGGGACCCACGACTTCCCAGAGAGGCCCCCGAGACGGCCTCCGAAGGTCAAGAGGTCCCTAAAGGCCCCCGAGAGGCCCCGCGGGCCCCAAAGGGGCCCGGGGAGGCTCCCAAGAGGTCCCCAGAGGCCCCCAAGAGGTTCCCGGGAAGCACCCAGGAAGCAGCAAGACGGCCTCAAGATGCCTCCTGTTCCTCCTCCTCCTCCTCCTCCTCCTCCTCCTCCTCCCTCTCGTCCTCCCTCTCATCCTTCTGGCTCTTTCTCTCACAGGTGTACCCCCAAGGGGCCAAAGAGTTCCACAAAGGCTGGGAGAGCACATAGCCGATTAGCTTGGACAGATGTTGGCCCAACATTTGGCCGCATGGGCGTTGCCAAAAGGCAGGGAGCGGCGGTGGTTCGCCGTAGCGCCTTCGATAATCAAGCCATAAGTGGGCATCGTCGGGTACAGTTTTCAATGTAGCCTCTAATGGCTGCGCCTGCACGTGAGACACGAATAGGGTGGCCATTCCCACACCACGGTCTTTTCTGGAGAGCCATACTTCTGCAACAGACCATTCTCTATTGTTAGTATCTGTCATCCACAGTTTGATACTCTCGATAAAATCGTATCCTGTCAGCTCAGGGCCGCACATCGGGGTGATGTAATCGGACTTCCCACGCTTTTCAAACACAGCCTTACGGCTGTAACTCTCTGGAATAAAGCCAATCGTCCCTGCTATCTGCTGAATGCTTCGCTTTGTCATTCCAAGGAGAAGGTGGAAATCATCACCGGAGGCGCCAACGAAACAACGAAGCTCTGGGCGGGACTTCAAATGTGTTCCCTGACTGGAGAAGAACTTCATGACCTCGTCCCTCACATTTTGCGTCGGCTGGAACATTCTGCAAGCTAGTGCTCCGCAGCCAACAGAAGATCCAATTTACGTGTGGCGGTCGGGGCGTCACCAAAATGTGATGTGTCAAACCGCTCGCGGGACAGCGGCAGCCAGAGCCCAAGCGGCTCGTGAGAGTACGACAGGGCCTGAATCAGGTGATCAATGTTTGATGGCCTCCTGGCTCGAAACCAGCCCCCAAATGACGAGATCCGCCGACCTGTCAGCGTGAGCGTCGTCGCCGTCGCCGTCGTCGTCAACCACTCAAGAGTTCCAGCCAGCGTCGAAGGGAAGCCCCTCCCATTTGATCCCTCCCCCGCCGAGAGGGCGGGGGTGGGGTGGGGGGAAACTGGGGAGGGTTGGGGGGAATATGACACCCCGCTGGGATGGGACCCCCCCTCCATTGGAGAAGCTTTCGGCTTCAGAACGTCATCGTCGTCGTCGTCTTCAGGGTCGTCGTCGTCAGGGTCATCCTCAGGGTCGTCGTCAGGGTCGTCGTCAGGGTCGTCCTCAGGGTCGTCGTCGTCGTCAGGGTCGTCGTCGTCGTCGTCGTCGTCGTCGTCGTCGTCGTCGTCGTCGTCGTCGTCGTCTTCAGGGTCGTCCTCAGGGTCGTCCTCAGGGTCGTCGTCAGTGTTGTCGTCAGGGTCGTCGTCGTCGTCGTCGTCGTCGTCGTCGTCGTCGTCGTCGTCGTCGTCTTCAGGGTCGTCCTCAGGGTCGTCCTCAGGGTCGTCGTCAGGGTTGTCCTCAGGGTCGTCGTCGTCGTCGTCGTCGTCGTCGTCGTCGTCGTCGTCGTCGTCGTCGTCGTCATCTTCCCCCCTCAGGGTCGGCGGCGCCGGCCATAACGCCCTTGAAGTCGAGGCAGAACCGCCACTGGATGAGGAAGAGGAGGTAGGAGGGGATGAGGAAGAGAGAGGAGGAGGAGGAAGGGAGGAGAGAGGAGGAGGTAGGAGGAGGAGGAGTGGTAGGAGGAGAAGGAGGAGGAGGAGGAGGAGGAGGGCATGGAGGAGGAGGAGGAGTGAGGAGGGCAGGAGGAGTAGGGGGAAACTGGGGGAGGGTTGGCGGGGGGGGGTGTGACACCCCCCTGTGATTTGGACCATACCCGCCATTGGCAGAGCTTTCGCTCCAGACGTCCCGTCGTCGTCGTCGTCGTGTCGTCGTCGTCGTCGTCGTCATCAGTCTCGTCAGGGTCGTCCTCAGGATCGTCCTCAGGGTCGTCGTCAGGGTCGTCCTCAGGGTCGTCGTCAGGGTCGTCGTCAGGGTCGTCGTTGCCGTCGCTGTCGTCGTCTTCCGGGTCGTCCTCAGGGTCGTCCTCAGGGTCGTCGTCAGGGTCGTCGTCAGGGTCGTCCTCAGGGTCGTCGTCGTCGTCGTCGTCGTCGTCGTCTTCAGGGTCGTCCTCAAGGTCGTCCTCAGGGTCGTCCTCAGGGTCGTCCTCATGGTCGTCGTCGTCGTCGTCGTCGTCGTCGTCGTCGTCATCTTCCCCCTTCAGGGTCGGCGGCGCCGGCCATAACGCCCTCGCAGTCGAGACAGAACCGCCACCGGGAGGAGGAGGAGGAGGAGGAGGAGGAGGAGGAGGAGGAGGAGGAGGAGGAGGAGGAGGAGGAGGAGGAGGAGGAGGGAGGACGGGAGGAGGGAAGGAGGGAGGAGGGAGGAGGAGGAGGGAGGAGGGAGGAGGTAGGAGGACGCGGAGGAGGAGGCAGGAGGAGGAGGAGGAGGAGGAGGAGGAGCAGGAGGAGGAGGAGGAGGAGGAGGGAGGAGGAGGAGGAGGACGGAGGAGGAGGAGAAGGAGGGAGGGGGAGGAGGAGGAGGGGGAGGAGGAGGAGTCGTAGGGCTGGTTCTGCGGGTCATACCTCGGACCTGCGGCGGCGACACCACCTTCAGGAAACCACGAAGACAACGATCAAGGGGCCCTGGGACACACAAATTAATAGGCACAAATAACCAAATTCCCCTGTATTCTCATATATGTTCTGGGTTTCTGTCTTCCCCCCCCGCTTCCCATATCGTCCCATACTTGCTGGGGAATCGAGGATTAATTGCGTCTGTGTGCTTTTCCCCTCCTGACATACCTCGAACCTGCGGCAGCGACACCACCTTCAGAAAACCACGAAGACAACGATCGCCCTGGGACACACAAATAAATAGACACAGATAACAGGATTAACCATATTCTCCCATATGTTCTGGGTTTCTGTCTTCCCCCCCGCTTCCCATATCTTCCCATATTTTCCTGGGAATCGAGGATGATTGTGTCTGCGTGCTTTTTCCCCTCCTGACATACCTCGATGGCCTGCGGCGGCCGTGCAAGACGATGCCGGCCCCCCCCCCCTCCCGGAAAACACTCGGCGAGGCGCAGCTGGTGGCAGGCAGCACGAGGCGACGCGAACACAACCTCCTCCTCCTCCTCCTCCTCCTGCTCCTCCTCCTCCTCCTCCTCCTACCCCCCTCCTCCTCCTCCTCCTCCCCCCTCCTCCCCCTCCTCCTCCTCATCATCCTCCTCCTCCTCCTCCTCCTCCTCCTCCTCCTCCTCATCCTCCTCCTCCCCCTCCTGCTCCTCCTCCTTCTTCCCCCTGTTCCCTAGGCTAGGCCCTCACCACGAAGAACCACGACCTCCAGGAAGCCACGCAGACGACGAGAGCCTGCGAAGAGAAGCCTCCACGAGAGCAGCGAGCACCTGGAGCTCCCCCCGCCACCCTCCCCCCTCATCCTCTCGACCTCCCCCTCCCAGAAGAGTACCGGCCGGAGCACGGTGGAGCGGGAGCCGGGGCATGGGGAAACCAACAGGTACCGATGCCGCTACACGTCGGTCGTGAGAAGTAGGTAGAAACATAAAGTAGGAAGGTGGATAAAGTGGATTGGGTCCAGGCCCTCCCAGAGAATAACAACACAAAGCAAAATCATGTCGATTCTTGAAGTAGGAAGGCGCTTGAAGTAGATTGGGATCTGGGTATCCAAGAATACCTACTTCCAACGACCGGCGTGTACTCCCCGGACCTCTCCCGGGCACGTTCTGACCAGGATCTCGAGTTGAAATCTCCTCCTCCTGCTCCTGCTCCTGCTCCTGCTCCTGCTCCTGCTCCTGCTCCTGCTCCTGTTCCTGCTCCTGCTCCTCCTCCTCCTCCTCCTCCTCCTCCTCCTCCTCCTCCTCCTCCTCCTCCTCCTCGGCGGGCCAGCCAAAGCACGGCGGATCCCAGCGGCCGATCCCAGCAACCCTGCAACCCAAAAGCGATGCCGCCTCTTTTGGGCGGGGGGGACTTTTGCTGCCGCCGCCTGCTGCCAGCCTTCCCTCTCCTTCTCCGGCGCTGCACCCTACAAGACTCGGCCAGAGGTGTCCTGCGAGGGGCCCGACGAAACGCAACCGCACTCGCGGCGCAGCACTATCCTCGGAATGCCCAGGCACAGGATGCCACAGCACCAAGAAGAAGAAGAAGAAGAAGAAGAAGAAGAAGAACCGCCACAAACAGAAACTCTTGGCGCTCCGCGCCGATTTCTTGGATCTGCGCTGGACCCCCCTCCCTGGCGCGCTCCGCGGCCAGCGCGGATCCAAGAAACCCGCGCGAAGCGCCACAAGTTTCTGTTTATGGCGCTTTGTCTCCTTCGAGGCACAGCAGACCCCAGACGCCTCGAACTGTGCCGGAGCCCGCATGGCGCCCGTCCTCCCTTTTTGGGGGACGCGGCTCCCGCTGCTCGGGAAGCTCCGCGGGGACACCGGCGACTCCCGGACCAACCGCGCCGCGCGATCGAGGCCCGACCGCACCCCGAACCGGGACGAGGGCGGGCGCGAGGCGACGAGGCAGCAATTGCCTCAGCCCCGCCGCCCGCCTTCCTTTTTTTTCAACGCGACTCCCCTTAGCCGAGGAAGTTTTGCGGGGGCACCAGCAACTACCGAGAAAACGACGCGGCGCGATCGAGGTCGATCGAGGCCCTGAACACGGACAGCGGGCGCGAGCGGAGAGCACGGTGGCCCCCAACCCCGCACCCGCGCACCCCCACCCCTGTGGGTGTGGCACCTGCGAGGGCGGCTCCCCCCCCCCCCCCTCTGGTGAGGGGCAAGGCGCAAGGGTCCCCCGCAGTTTAGCGTGGCCCCCTTTGAAAATATGTTTCGAGCTGTGTCTGAGAGGTCGGGAGGGGAAGGGGGAGGTCGAAAGGGGAGGTAAAGGAGAGGGAGGAGTGGAGACTCTCGGCGGCGGTGGCAAAGCCTCCCAGCTCACGGGTAAGTGCTGGTGTCGGCGCTGGTGTAGGCGCTGGCATCCTTGCTGCCGACGGTGCTGAAGTCGCAGCACCCTCACCTACTGCTTCCTCGGCTTCTTGCCCTTTGCTGCCTGTGCGCCGCCCTTGCCCGTCTTGAACGCCAGCGCCTCGACCTCTTTGGCCGCCTTCGAGCGTTTCGCGATGTCGTACTGCAGGCTGATTCCGACCGCGGCCAGGGCGCCGTTGAGCCGAACCATCTTCAACGACTCCTTCAGCGACGGATAGTGGTTGATCGCGAATATCCACTTGCATGCCGAGAGCTCGCCGCCCTCCTCGTCCGCCTTGGCCTTCACCTTGAAGCACCTCGTCGCCACGAACTTGATCTGCGGGTCCTGCACCAGCTTGCCGAACTTGATGATCTCGTCCAGCGCCGTCTTGGTGGCCTGCGGCTCGATGCCCTGCTCCACGGCCGCCAGCGCGGCGTCCTTCTTGCCCTCCACGGCCTCCGCCACGCGGAACAGGACCGCCCTCGCCAGTGCGTCGGGCCTCTTGCCGAGCGGGTTGCCCATGTAGTCCTCCTCTTTCTCCTTGGCCTTCTCCTTGGCCTTGGTGCCCTCCTCCTCGTAGTGCGACAGGGCCTGGTCCAGCGCAATCGCCATCTTCTGTGCCTGCTTCAGTGGGATCACGAGATTGTCGTCCCTGTGAGCCGAGCGCGCCATGTCCTCGTGCTGCAGAACCAGGCGCGCGAGCGCCTTGGCCAGGGGGCCCACCACGTCCTGCTGCGCGCCCTTGCCCTCGGCCGCGACCCCCGCCTCGGCCGCCGTCCTCTTGTGCTCTTTGCTGCCCGTCACCGCCTGCGCCTCGCCTATCGGCTGGAACATCGCGCGCGGCCTCTGGGACAGGTCCAGCGGAGGGGCCAGCTGGATCAGGTAGTTCTGAGAGTATGGCTTGAGCCGCAACTCCGCTGGGACGGGACAGGCACCGTTTCTGTTTAATGTGTCTGATCAGGATGTCTTTCCTCGTGAAGGTCTTCAGACAGTGGGGGCAGGTCTTTTGTTTCAGGTCCGTCTCTGTGAGGGCTTCGGGCTCTGGGTTTGCATAGACTTTATGAACAGCATGTCTGTGATTCGCTAACCCCTTTTCCCCATTGCATTTTTGCCCGCACAGTTCACACTCCAGCCAGACGATTGCTGCAGCATCCTTCACAGTGTCAGTCTCGCCGCCGTAAGTCAGCACACGGCGGAAGCAGCGCTGCTCGAGGGAGGCGAGCCAGCGCAGCCACGGCTCGGCCAGCTCAGGGAGGTCGCCGTGCAGCAAGAAGAGCTGGCGAGCCGCGAGCTTCTCCCGAGCGTCTGCTGTCTGCCACATCTGCCGCATGTCGTCCAGCAGCAGCGTCAGCAGGCCAGAATGCTCACCCTGGCCGACCTGCTCGAACGAAAGACGGCCAAAGACGACCGCCCTGACCGCCAGCGTCGGGTCGCACAGATCTTCGCTGGGGTCCCTGAAGGCCGGCCACAACACCTTCTGCCGCCACCTCAACCTTCGCAGCAGCAATGTGCTTGTGACCGTCGGCGTGCGGGCTCGCTTCCTGATCTCGCGGTTGGTCTGCTTGTACAGGTGGGCGGGAGAGTGCAGCAACCCACGGGGTTTCTTCACCTGCCAGCTCTCCAGCCTGTTGAGCCCCCGCTTGGCGAGGTTGGCGATCTCCAGGCAATACAGACATACTGACCTCACCAAGGCCTTCCACAATCTGATCTTCAACTTGGGGCTGAACCCGCTCTTGAAAGCACGACGAAGCAGACGAGAATGAGTGGAGTTGGCGGCCCTGATTCGCCTAGTGACCTCCCCCTGGCGCGAGCCCGTCGCCGACAGCTGGGCGCCCAAGTACTTCACATACGGCTGCGGGTGCAATGGGAAATAGTCGTCCTCCTCCCACGTCACAACGCGGGTGTTCTGCGCTCGAATATCCTTCATCCTTTTCTTGCTCCCAATTCCCGACGGCGCGAGCAGCAACTCCGTCTTTCCGGGGTTGACTCGCATACCTCCACCGCAGATCTCACCCTGCAAGACCTCCAAAATGATGGACGCATCGTCAAACTCCTCAATCTCAGCGAACGTGAGCAGGTCGTCCAATAACTTTAGCTGGGACACGTCTATCTCCTCGCACTCTTCCTCCTTCAGGCTGTCATTGTTGCGGAGTTTCCTCAGCGTGGGGTCGAATAATGCTTTGACTGCCGTGACCTCCTGCTGGCGGAGTTCGTGCGGGATACGATATACTATCCCATCATAGACTGCCACGAAAAGCCAAGGACTCTCAACTCCGCCTTGCCGTACACCTTTCTTGACCCTGATCCTCGCCACTGGCTCGCGCGTCGTCACATCACGGAACAAGTAACACATGCCTTCATGGAGCTCTTCCAGTGTAACTCGCGCGTCCCAGCGGACTCGCAACGCCTCCAACGCCTCCCACATCTCATCCTTGGGAACCGCGTCGGACGCCTTCTCAATGTCGGCGAGGACCGCCAGCAGCATCGGTGGGGGCTTAGAAGAGCGCCCACGCCGTTTAGCTCGATGGGCACGCTGATGTCGAACAATTACTTCACTTGCCACTGCAACTGCGCCCCGTGTACCTCGCCCAGGCATGGCTCCAAACTGCGTCGGGGAAATCTTGCGTGCTACTTCTCGCACCGCCTCGTGCGCGGTGACCTTAGCGCGCGCTTTCCCCACATGACTGATCAAGTTGATGGTCCGGTAGTCTTTTGACGCCGAACACCCGTCACCATTCGGCTTACGCAACTGCATGGTTTCGCCGTCCTTGAACCTCTGAGGGGCATCACCCAGCGCCTGCGCTGCGTTGAAGACTTGCATGATGGGCGGTGCAAGAGAGTCGATCGCCAGCTTCCAAGATTCAGCAACAGCACCACCAGGCGGGCCCCTCAACGGCCACCTGAGCGTAGGACCGCCCTTCAAATTGGGCAGCTCCATGATGCTTGCCTTCACCGCTGCCATGTCGTAGCTGCCAATCCTGCCGTCGTCGCGCTCCTTCCTGCCGACCATGGGAGGGCGCGCGTCTAGCTCCATCGCCTGGCCCTCGCATATGTCACAGATGCTCTGAATGCGCGCGCGCTGGTCGTCCACTGCGTCGAAGCATGGCAGGCCTGTGGCTGGATCCTTCACCGTCATAATGGGAGCCGCAGGCTTGGGTGCAAACTTGTTCACGATGTTGTGTAGGCGCCTCAGGTTCCTTTGGCTTGCCGCTCTCTCTCTGCCACTGCCGCCATCTCCGCCGTCCTCTGCCGCTTCTCGCTCCTGATCGCCGCTGTCGCCATCTTCGCCGCCTCATTAAACCGCTCCTGGAATAGCGTCCTCATCCACATTGCGCCTTCAGGAAGAGCTGCCAGTTGGTACTGCCAGCACTGCTTAGTCCGAATCAGCTTCACCGTCTCATCTCCGAACACTGGGCCATCGCCTTTCCCCGTCACAGGTGGTGAGATGTAGTCCTGCAAAGCCGCCTCGATCACTACTCCCTCGAGCTCGTTGAAATACTCCGACGGCGACTCGTACTGCTTGCCCTTACCGCACACATCTGCCCAGTCCTCATAGAGCCCCTTGCACTCGAGCCCCTCCTGAACCTTGAGTCTGAAGTTGAGCGCGCGGTTCGGGAGCTGCTCCTGGTTGTCGAGATCCGCCTCTGCTTGCTGCACCTTCAGCAGGTCTGCACTCATGAGCTCCCGCCGCCACCGAAATTTGCCAACTTCCTTCACCGTCTTGGCCTTCACCCCAACATAGATCTGCGCCTCCAAAGGTCTGTGGTCCATGTCGCCGCCCAAGTTCACAAGTAAATCGGCCCGTGGATGAGCAGAGTGTCCATATTCCCCTTGCCTTCGCACCAGCACGTAGTCTATCGTCGTCCAACCTCCTTGTGGGCTCGTCCACGTGCCATTGAATCGTCCCCTTTTCCCGAACGTGTTCAGCGCCATGAGCCCGTAGTCCTCCATCAGGCCCATCAGCTCGTAACCGTTGCCGTTGATCGCTGGCCCCGTCCTGCGCACACCTGCAAACCCCACCCAAGGCAGCGTCGGCGGGACGTGTGCGTTCGCGTTGAGCGTGATGACCAATGAGGCCCGCGCAGGCACCTGACCAACAGCTCGTCGACATACTTGCCAGAACGTGTCTCTGGCTTCCAAGTGCTTCTCGCGATACTCCATTGCTTCAACTCCCTTAGGAACGTGGCCAGCCTCATTCGTGGGTGCGTAGCCGTTCAGCACGTATATGTCGCGCTCGTACCTGCGCTTGTTGATGCTGCGAAGTCGCACTCCCTGTAGTTTACCTTCCAGCCAAGTATGCTCACATCTGACCTCCCCCTTCTGGAAGAACTTCAATTTATCGCAGTGAGGCATCCGTCTCGCTGACCTTTGTCCGATCTCGCCAAGGAGTGAACCTCGAAGCTGCCCGACTTCCATGTCTTGCCTAAGTCCATCTGCGTGCCTTGCATCGTGAAAATGACCAAGTCCTCAGCCCTTGCCAACTCTAACAACTCATCCATCCTCCCGACTCTCCGCAGCGACTCCACGTTGAAGCTCCACACCTTCAGTGCACGTTGCTTCCATGCGGCTCGCTGCCTTGCTTGACACGTGTTTCTCTCCAACTTCTCACATACTCGTTCATCTGCTCGATGTGGCGTCTGGGTCAGCTCCGCGACACTCTCGGGAGAGACCAGCTGCGCGGCTGAGGCTCGTGTGATCTTCTGTCCACGGTACCAGGCCGCACCCACCACCAGCGCAAGCCGCGCTGCACGCCTCAGGGCACGCTTGCCACGCATCGCCCGTACGCCCTTTTTCCAGCAACACGTCAGGCCAAACTCGGTGTTGCCGTCCTCGCGGGTCGGGCAGCCCGCGAACGCCCACCTCGCAGTAGTCACCGAAGCTCTCCCCCTCCGCGGCGTGCAGCACCCAACATGGCGCGGCCGTCAGGGGGCAAGCACTGGCCAGGACTTGCGACCTGGCACGACCGTCGCTGCGACGCAACGTCTTGAGCCGTCGAGGCTTCCGCCCGCCTTCCGCCGCCTTCCGCCGGCAGGGGCGGCCGCGCCCACAGCTCCCGCCGCCCGCCGCCCGCCTTCCGCCGGGGCCCCTCCCCCGGAGCGCGCCGCGCGGGGCGCTGCCTGGAGCGCGCCCCTTCGATCCTCGAGGGCGAGCCCCCCTCTCTGGAGGGCGCCGGCGTTTTCTTCCTTCGGCGTTCTGGCACTGGGCGGACGAGCGCAGGGGGGGGAGGAGGAGGAGGAGGAGGAGGAGGAGGAGGATGGAGGAGAGAGGAGGAGGAAGGAGGAGGATGGAGGAGGAGGAGGAGGAGGAGGAGGGAGGAGGAGGAGGAGGAGAGAGGAGAAGGAGGAGGAGAGGAGAAGGAGGAGGAGGAGGAGGAGAGGAGGAGCGCCATCGTCAACGTTTTGCCTTCGGCGTTCCGGCATGGGCGGACGGAGCGCCGGGGGGGGGGGGGGGTGGGGGGGGGGGGGGGGGGCCGGGGGGGCTTTTTTTTTTTTTTTTCAGGCTCCGGACCTCTGCTCCGTGCGCCCGTTTGCAGCGGGGCGTCCGTTAGGGGGGAGGCTGCGCCTGCCCGGAAAAAACGGCGCCCGAAGCGGCCAAGATCTGCTCCATTGGGGGGGGGAGCGGGCGGGGTGCGAGGGCCCGCGCTGGTCGGCAAAGCAATGGATACGTAGACGACGACGAGCGGGCGTGGAGGAGGAGGAGGAGGAGGAGGAGGAGGAGGAGCATGAGGAGGAGGAAGAGGAGGAGGAGGTGGAGGAGGGAAAGGAGGAGGGGGAGGAGGAGGAGGAGGGAGGAGGAGGAGGAGGATGAGGAGGAAGAGGAAGAGGAGGAAAAGGAGGAAGAGGAGGAGGAGGAGGAAGAGGCGGAGGAGGAGGAGGAGGGGGAGGAGGGGGAGGAGGAGGAGGAAGAGGAGGAGGAGGAGAAAGAGGAGGAGGGGGAGGAGGAGGACCACTGTAAACCCAAGAGTCATCAACGATGTTGGAAGAAACCCTCCCTCCAAGCTCCCTCGTCGTAGGCCCTTACAACGGTTCATGACCATTGAAGGAACTGCCGATTTGCCCTGTAGCATGCCAAAGCATGGTTCTCAGGATTTCAACACCACGGATCAAGCGGACTGTTGCGTCTTGACAATCCTGAATCGCAGCAGAACGCGAGTCCTAGGACTTCAACCCAACGAATCCAGATAGTTGTTGCACCCGCATGATCCTGAATCTTTTCGAAACACCATCCCTGCCACGCTGATGATAGGAATCCGTGAAACCCTTGTACATTGTGTAAAGGAATGTGCGCGGCACGATTGCGAGAGCCACATGTTGAAAGCGACCCGCCATCAATCCGTGAAACTGCCGCATTTGGTATAAAAAACGAATGTGCACCGCGGTGCGAATTTTGTAAACGAATGTGCGCCGCGCTAAGGCTAGAGCCACATGTTGAAATCATGTTCGGGTTAAACCCCTGCCCCAGAAAGGAAAGTGGAAAGCAGCATGGCAGTTTAGCATGGTCGTTGGGTGCAGCATGCAGCACGGCCGGCCGGCAGAGAGACAGACCGGAAACGTTTTTTGGCTCAGGAGCGCAGGGGAGAAGAAGCAGTACTCCCTCAACATGGTAGCGGAGCCTGGTCAGATCTGAGACAAGCGGGTGGCTCCGTGGTCTCAGGTTCGGCTGGGCTCATCTGTGCATGGGCAAACAGAGACTTCGATCGGCAGAGTCGAGGTCCAACCGACAACTACGAGGCTCGGCGCTGCGGCGACACGCAGCGGGCGAGCAGCCATCCACAGAGGAGCAGAGGGCCTTGAACCTGAAGCGCCTCGAGAAGGAGACCGACGACGACCTCGACGAGCTCCACAGTGGAGGAACAAGTCAAAGCAGCGTTCGGAAGACTCCAGCGCTTGGAGGACGGGAGCACGCAGCTGCAGGAACAGCTCAGGAAGGACGAGGACGACGAGGCCAGGAAGGAGGAGGCCGACGACACCAAGAGGAGCGAGGCCGCGGCTCGTGCGAGAGCTGCCCCGCTGGTCCCGACCAGCGTGGACACAAGGCTCCTCCTCCTCCTCCTCCTCCTCCCCCTCCTCCTCCTCCTCCTCCTCCTCCTCCTCCTCCTCCTCCTCCTCCCCCTCCACAAGCCAGGCGAGTTCCGCGGGAAGGAGGCGGACTGGCCGAGGTGGTCTCCGACCGTGCGGGCCCACCGCGGAGCAGTGTCCGGCCAGATGCTGGAGCTCATCCGGAAGGCGGAGAACCTCGACGAGGGCCTCGACAGGGTGGACCTGGACCCGGGCGACGACCAGCTGGACGCACAGCTGTACGTCATCCTGACGATGCTGCTCAAAGAGAACATGATGGAGAAGCTGGAGACCGTCGAGTACGGAGAAGGTCTACAACTCTGGAGGCTCCCGGTGGCGGAGTTCGAGCCGAAGTTCGCGTCTCGCAAGATGGCCCTGCAGCAGGCGTACCTCAACTTCACGTTCAACAAGGACGAGGACCCGCGGAAGGGCATCGACAGGCTCGAGACGCAGATCCGCCAATACCAGGCCGCCACCAAGAAGACCGTCGACGACGACACCCGGACCGGAGTGCTGTTGAAGGCGCTGGCCGGCGGCAGCGAGTCCCACCAGCCCTTTGGGCGTGAGTGGTTTAGGGAGCTCTCTCTGTTCTCAACCCCCCTTCTTCCCCTTCGGGGAGGGGTTTACCCCTCCCCCTACCCCCTCCCCCTGGGCCTGGAGAGGTCCCTCCGCGGGTGGCCGAGGGGTCTTTTTCGACTCCTGGGAGGGCTAAAAAACGACACCCCTCACGAGGATTCTGGCCCCGACGGGGGGGGGGAGAAAAGTGCTCCCCTCTTCTTTGAAGCCAAAATCATTGATTTTACTACAGTTTTGGCCCCATTTTGGCCTTCTGAGGGGCAGCGCTAATTAAAGCTCCCCTCTTCTTTGAAGCCAAAATCATTGATTTTACAAAGGTTTTGGCCCCATTTTTTTTGGCCTTCTGAGGGGGCAGCGCTAATTAAAGCTCCCCTCTTCTTTGATCGATTTCCTCCAAGATGGCCCCAAGAAGCACCAGGAAGGCACCAAGAGGCCCAAGTGGCCCCAAGAGGCCCCCAGGAGGCCCCAAGAGGATCCCAAACGGCCCAAAGAGGCCCCCCCGAGGCACCCAAGACGCCGAAAAGCCATCAGGACGACCCTTTACTCGCCTGGGCGTCGTTTCTGGACGGGCAGGAGGAGGGGCCCGAACGGCTCACACCAGGACGAGGGGCCCGAACAACTCACACCACGAGAAGCCCGAACGACTCACCAGGACGAAGAGCCCGAACGACTCACACCACGAAGAGCCCGAACGACTCACACCAGGAAGAAGGGCCCGAACGACTCACACCAGGACGAGAAGCCCGAACGTCTCAAACCACGAGGAGCGTTTTCTCTCCCTCCTCCTCCGCCTCGTCCTTCTCCCGCTCCCACCACAAGGAGGATGTACAAGGAGGCGGGAGAAAGGAGGAACAGGGGAGTTATGCGGGGGCAGGCGGAAACACGCCTGAAAAACACGACTGTCGGCATGCTTCGCTAGAGTTGCTGTTTTGAGATGGGCTGGTGGGGATACGCGAAGCGTGAAGAATTGCAGAAGAAGTTGGGCGACCACCTCGTTCTCAACGCGTACCGCGTGGACACCTTCATCGAGATGAAGAGGGAGATCCAGGAGTACCTCGGAGTCAAGCAGTGGCTCGTCCCTGGCGGTTCGGCGGAAGTCCTGGCCGTGGGAGCCGGCGATAAAACTAGCCAGAAGAACCAGGTGAAGGGCGAGCTCAAGATCAAGTTCGCCGGAGATTGCTACTGCTGTGGCAAGCCTGGCCATAAGAAAGTAGACTGCTGGTGGAATCAAGAGAGAAAGCCACCGCCGTCGAGCGCTGGAAAAGGACGAGGAGGAGGAGGAGGAAAAGAAAAGGAGAAGGAAGAAAAGGGGAAAGGACGAGGAGGAAAAGGTAAGGGAAAGGATAGCAAAGGAGGAGGAAAGGATAGCAAAGGGGGAGAAGACAGGGATCAGAGCAGGAAGAGGCCGAGGTTGGACATCGCTGCGATCGAGGAGCAGATGCGGGCGCTCAGCCTGAGCATCGGCGCGCTGAAGGACCAGGACTGTGGGAGCGTGGAGCTGTGCCGGGTCTCCGAGACGCAGGAGGTCGGCATGGTCCACGCCCAGACGGCGACGAACCGCGCAACGATGGGCCTCGACAGCGGCGCGGAGGTCACGGTGTGGCCCCCGGAGCTCTTCCCGCAGGTGGCCACGGAGGAGAGTCCAGAATCTCGTCGGGGAGTGAAGTATTTTGGGCCAGGAGATCGTGAAGCCCCTAGCCTTCCCAGTCTTGGGCGACGGCGGTACGATTCGAGGACAGGAGGTTTGAGGAGGAGCGCCAACGTGAACGTTGTACTGGTGAGGAAGCCTCTGCTGGCGATGTGCTACATGATGGACGCCGGCCACGACCTGCATTTCAAGTGCGGCGGCCGGTGCTACGCCAAGCACTGCAAGACCGGGAAGGAGATCGAGATCACACGTCGAGGAGGTAAATTTGAGATCGACGCCGAGGTCGTGCTGCCGCCGCCACCCCCCTTTCGGGCGGCCGGCGAGTCCGTAAGTCCCCTGGAGTCCGGCTCAGGAAGGGCAGGCGGCAACAATGCCGTGCCTGAGCCGAGTAGTAGCCCTATGGAGGAGGATGGGACGGACGAGCAGCAGGAGGAGGAGCAGCAGCAGAAGCAGCACATCGAGCACGCGATCTTCGGGACTCGGGGAGGCGGCG